TCTATTAAGGATTTGTGAAGAAATAATACAGTTATTATAAATTAATACTCCGTGAAATAGAAAGTTGCTTTGACAAGTAAAATGACAACTCTCTTAACTGTTTGAAGGTGATCCCTCAAATTTTTTTTTACTGTTAACTTCATTATTGTTGCCCAAGTATGACACTATGAAATCTTACACTAAATGATCTTTTCAATAGCTAAAGACTTATCATTACTAAATTATCCATTGTGTTTGTAACTAATTTCATGAATAAGATCTTCTGTTACTAATAAAGAAAGTAATATATTCAATAGTTTTTCAGTCACATGTATAACGTTACTAATTAATTTACTAACAAAATGAACAAAGATAGGGTTGGGGGGGATTGTAATAATAATAATAATACTAACAATTATACTATTAATAATAATAGTAATAATAATAATAATAATAATAATAATAATAATAATAATAAAAATAATAATAATAATAATAATAATAATAGATGAAGAAGATGAAAAAGAAAAATCATCACAATAACAAGTATTGTTCGGAAAACAAAAGAAAAATGACTTGACTTTGCTTTATGAGCTCATGATATGCTTATAATATCTTTCATCTAAGTTTATTAATAGGGGCTTATATAAATGATTATTTGAATTGCTTAAAAATCATCATTGCTAAATTATCCATATTCTTTACTTGATAGGGTGGCCTTTTATCCTCTAAACGTGAATGTATTTTAAACACATACAATTATACATGATGAACGCCAAATTATAATTTTTTTTTTGTAACCATTGGTAGTTAATATTACCAATACAATAATTACACAAGATCACTATAAAGGTAACAACAAAAAAAATAAAATACAAGGGAGACAAAGCTTTCAAATAGTCTCGTAACTCAGAATCGATATGTTCGTACCAAATTTACTTTCCTATGTTACTAAAAATCAAAGTATTAATTGTAGTTTCGTTTTCAGATTTTTGTGTACCAATATTGTTTCCTGAGTTACTAAAAAATTATCTATAAACAATGTTCGAATATTTTGGGGGTTTTCCGCCATCGTCGTCGACTACCTAAGCCCTTTTTCAACCATTGTTGTTGTCGTCCTTTAATTCTCTTAATTATCTAATATTTAATAAGCAGTCGGATACTTATGTGCCTACAATTATAGTATTCCAACAAAAAATCCAAATCCGTTTGAAATCGATAGGAAGAGAAGACTCATTTCACTAATTCAATTGAAACTGGGTATATTCTGCAAACATACCCATTAACGAATAGGATACGATTAATGGAGGAATAATAAGTCAATTACACAATAACTCTGCAAATAATATATACACGTTTACATAATTAACTGGAATAAATCCAATTCGTAAACCCCCAAATTGAAAACTAAAACCTAATTCACTCGAATTTTCTCAATATTCTCGCGTAAACAACGATTTGTTTGTTCAATAAAACCGAATAATCTTTGTGGTTGTCGTTAATTTAAGCAATTTGTCGTATATTGAAGCAGTTTCAAGGTTTTTTAGTTCATCTCCAATTAATATCCATCGTCGCTCATTTTGCCATTTCGTCCTTTCCTTTCTCCTCTTTGGTGTTTGTGTTGCAGAAATGATTTTTTTTTAATAATATTAAATTAATTTCATGGGAAATGACAATTAATTTGAATTTCAAACATCTGAATTTTCATTCAAATTTGAATGAAAATTGAAAATTAGTGGAAATTGGGTCCAAGAATAGAACCAATGAAATGCTGCCAGCTATGAATGTATGTGGGCTCCACATACAGTAAATGTATGTGTAGCTTTTTCGTATACTTATTGATATAGTTACCCTTTCTAAATGAATAAAAAACAAATCACAATGATGGAAATCAAAAATATCACCTTATAAAATTTATTCATATTAATCTGAATTATTAGCCAAGTGAATGGCCATATCAATTCCCAACTCCACATCTAGAGGGCGAGAATTTCATTTTTATGTAAAGGAGCTGGTAAATATAGTTAACATATTGATGCAACTTATAAAAATGTCACCTGTTACCAAAAGTTTCCAAAAGTTTCTAATCTGTTCTACAAGTTTTCATAACATAATTCTGTTTTTGACGTAACAAACTCTCTGTTAGATATTATATTTTTAATATCTATATAGAGAATCGTTATAAGATTTTAAAGATTGTTACTCAATATTACAGCAAAATTTTCTCCCAAAATATTTCTGATCATCTGCATTTTCAAGTTCTCTCTAAAATTATTTGAAACACAAATATGAAATGTTGCAACTATATAAACTTTCAACGTGGTATTAGATCAAGAATCAGTTTATAGAGGGATGGACCGAAGAATTTGTGTCTTACGACATTTAAATGTTTTTTTTTTTTAAATGTGAATTCATGAGTTGGGTTGCTTCACTTTCCTTTTGATATACCATTCAATTCTTCATGTTCTTTCTTGTATGTATTCCAAGGGTAAACATGTTTCAATAAAATTAGCATTTCTAATAAATTTCTAAATATTTTAATTTTGGTGAGGCCGATGATAATTTGATTTCATGTATATCTTGCAAAACTAATCTGATACACGCAGTGAAGTTCATTGACGATGTAGAGGCCACACTATCTTAGCTTGTCTCAAACTCGCAGCTCGGGTTGAAGTTTAGGTACGAGCTCTCACCTTTGTAGCATGAACATGAACATTAGATGATTCTTATGTTAAGTATCTCCTTGACCGTCGTTAATACATTTGTAGTGATAAAATCTTAGAGCCTAGACACACTTCCAATGTAATCTTAAAAGTCACATGGTAAGCAAGCAAGACTAGAAAGTCAAGCTAATAAGCATGTAAGGAGTACAAAAGTCATATTATTACCTCAACATACCAATGTTATAAGCTTACATACGAAAGAGAAAGGATGTAATTGGTCAAGTCATGACCCATTAAGAGCTGATAAATGAGACTACTCACATATAGAACATGGTGATAATTGACATGAAACTAAAAAAAAACACTGTTATTATACATTTTACTACCTCTGGTCCAAATTAGTTTCAACTATTTCCTTTTTGGGCTGGTCCACATTACTTGCAACTTTGCCATTTTTTTTTCCTTTTTTAGTAACTTTTTAAAGGTAAAATTACAAACTTACCCTTACTTTTTTTAAAACCAACCTTATTATACTACTAACCTAATATAATTACACTACCTAACTGATTAATTAGATTAATCATTCCCACCAAAAAAACCCCAACTCTTTAAATTCACCATCATTCCAACCAACTCAATTGAATGCTACACCATTCAATTCATCAGATGAATATGGTTGAGTGCATTTATTCTGGAGAATTCTCCAGAATATATTACCCCCCCAAAACCCTACTTCATCTTTTTCTCACTCCTCACTCTTCGCCGTTTGGGATCTCCTCTCTCTCTCTCTATCTTACTCTGTCTCTCTACTTGCGATCTGGGTTTTCTCCTTCCTTCATTCTTCAGTTTTGTTCTTGTTGTTCTTGAGTCCCACTATGTCTACTTCAAAGGACAAAGAACTCGATCTTTTTTTCCATGAGACCCTTGAATCATTTGGATCAAAGCGCCGATCTGGGCATGTAACCCATAAGCCGCAGCGAGGAACGGGAAACACGAAACCCGTTCGTCGTGCTTTAGTTATTGCAAGGAGGAGGATCCGTGGTGCAAAACTGGCTGAGTATGTGAGCGATAAGGAGGAGAAGCCTCATGAAGTGGTCCCTGTGGCTACGGCCGTTGATGAACCACAACTTGAGGTGGTTCCTATTGCTGAGGTGCTTCCTATTCCTGCTGTTGTAGTTGTTGAGGCTGAGGTCTCCGCTGCTGGATCTGCTACTGGGGAGTCAAACTCAGTTGAGGTGGCTAAGCCACCTGAGTCCCACGACGACGGTTAAGGCCCTTCTACCGGAGCTAAGAGGATCAGATCTGGTCCACCAGGAGGGATGACGAGGGAAGAGGTGATTGAGGCGTACCTGCAGATCTACTACCCTCAGTTCTACCCTCCTCCTAACTGATTGCGCAGCGTATACTCTATAAGCCCTAGTTTATTTTCTTGTCCTTTGTTTTATGTTTGCTCTATTATACCGGTGATTGTGTTCATGTGTTGTTGGATCATGTTTTGTGTGTGGTGGTAAGTCTCAAAATTGTTGTTGTATTGTGCTGGGTATTTGCTATTTCTAATGTGCTGGTGGCTTGTGTTGGTTGTGCTATGTCTGATGTTCTGATGGCTTTTGTTGGTTGTGCTTTGTCTGTTATGCTGGTGGCTTGTGTTGGTTGTGCTCTAGTTGATGTGGTGGTGACTTGTGTTGGTTGTACTATTTATTATGTGCTGCTAGGGTTGTGCTCTGTCTTGTGTTGGTTGTGCTCTGTTTGATGTAGCAGTATTTGAACTAGGGTTGCTATAGGTTGTAATTATGTTTGTTGGACCATGTCACTTGTTTAATGCTGACCACATCCCTTCTGAGTCCCCTAGTTGATCATGTTAGCATGTACTATTTGGCCTTCCTAAGCATTTGAGTCCCTTACATGCATTGAGTCCCCTCAACTATAAATGCATACCATGTTTAATTTCCAAATGATGATGGGACTCACCTGATAGCTACTTGGGTGGTGTGGATGCTCCTGAAACCTCTCTATGAGGTTTTGTTAAGGTACTAACACTCACTAAAGCTTTGACTAAATACACTCATTCTGATGAAAATATTAGTTACAAAACATTTCAAAGAGTTGGTTAATTACATGTTTGACTAAACAAAAGATTAAGACTATAATAAATACATGACTGCCTAATAAATGTGTTGCTTCTTTTTACCAATAGGACACATAACCTAGACATAAACTCACTCAAAAAGTTGTTAGAATATTAAAAGGTTATGTGTGGTAGTCATGTGTTGAGTCCCTCTTCCATTTGCATTCTTCTCCTCATGTGCTTCAATCTGCATCCACTTCCATGTGTCCTTGATCATCACTTATTACCGTGACTCAGTCCAAACATTGAACAACTTGACCAATCAGATTCCTGTCAACTTCTAGTAACCATGGTAGTAGACCTTCACTTTCCAAACTTCTCTTCTTCATGTGAGGGGGAGAGAAGTTGTTCCCACCTTGCTTCTTTAGTATCTTAATTAAGCATGATTGTAGTGTGATCCATGTGTACTTGTTCAAAACTGGGTCAAACTCTTCAAAAGCTCTAGCAACTTCATATATGAGCTCATCTAGATTCCTTAGGAATGATTGGTATTGTAGTGATTGAATGACACTAAACAAACCTAAATATAAAACATTTGTTTCTGGTGATTGATCTGTTTGGAAAATGAATAGAATGTTGAATCCATGTGCATGACAAGATGCTTGAAATTCTTTATCCTTTGGAACTTGATTAGGTCTTGCATTATCCCATTGAATGATGATGTCCTTTGGTAGCTGTTCTGGCCACTTCTCATAGATAGTTGGAATAACATGTGTTAGTAGCATGTCCCTAATGCATTCTTTTGTGACACTTTGAAGTGCCTTTGTCTCCAGAGTCACTGCATCTCTGTTTTTGCTTTTCTTTTTGGCCATTTCATACTTGACAAAAGGAAATAGACCATATTTTCCATCATGTAGAATGTTGTTTTGCTCATCAAATAAGGGCTCCCCAATCATTCCCATGAACATTGCTTTTATCTTGAATCTCCTTGATTGTTGTGCCCTGTATGAATCTTCCTCAGTAGGCAACAAATAAAATGTTCTTGTCTCTGGATTTATAAAGAACCATTTCTCATCCAAATGTATCCAGTGCTGCATGTCTATGAATTTTGGGTCCCCTTGTGCTGGAATGGGATCTATGTGACTTAGAACCCATTTCAGTCTTGACACTTTGTGCTTCTCTGTAAGAGCTGGATGATTTGTGCTGGTGTGTGTTCTGAGCTTGCCTTGTTGCGTGAGTCTGTGCAGTGTTGTTTTGGGTATTTTAAGTGCTGCAGCATAAACTCTCTCCGTCCTTCTCTTGTACAATGGTACTGAAGTTAGAAATTCATCTGTGTACACTTTTGGTTTGGGTCCTGTCCTGCCCAATTTTTTGGTATTAACATCAACTACAGTACCTTCGGCTAGAGATTGTTTGATTACCTTGAACGACCTTGTTGTTGTGGATTTGTGCACTGAATGTTTTCTAGCCAAATTGGCTAAGAAGCCTCTTGGCAGTGAGTCCCCCTCCATATGCAACATAATCTCATCAACAAGTGCTCTTTTCTCTTCTACATTCATTTCTCTGCTTGCTCTGACATGCTGTTGTGCTTCTTGATTGTTTGCATCATCATCTGCATCATATCCATCATCATTGGCTTCCTGTTCTTGCTCTTAATCATCATCTGAATCATACCACCATAGATATTCTTGATGAATGTGTTCATATTCTATGAATTCATCGTCCAATGCTTGCTGATGCTGAATGTACTCATTCATAATTTTATCTATGAACTCTGCCATGAGTCCGTCAATTTTGTTTTTTCAGGGTAGCTTTTTGGTGATGAAGTGGAGGCTGGTTTTTTTTTGTCAGTAACGAAGCCTATTCCTGTAATTAAAGAAGCTGCTTCTACTAACACAGCTTTAGGAATTAGGAAAATGCTAATCTTGATTTAGATTGATGTAATTTGATAGGGCTGCCTGTATTTTGAATTAACAAAACTTAATTTCTGATGTAACCTAACTAAACTATCCTCCCCCAGCCCCTCCCCAATTCCCCTAAAACTGCTCTTTTGAAATGGGGTTTTGGAAAGGATGTCCTCCTTTTATATGGGGCATTTTGTTTGAATGTGAATGAAAAATTCGAATTTTGGGGGAACTTGGAAAAAATTTGAATTTCGGGTGAAATAGTGGGAGGGAAACTAAGTGGGAAACAAAATTCTCACCTGTTTGTATGCTTGCTGCCAGAAACTTTGGGTGGGAAATTCCCACTAAAAATCAAAAAGTGCAAGTGGTCCTAAAAAGTCAAATAAAGGGACCGCATGTATTCCCTCCATATTACTCCCTAATTACTTACCCTTAATTTTTTTAATCAACCCCTTAAAAGTTTTGCCTCGGCCTCCGTAACCACCCCCAAAGTTACAACTAAAATGGGCCGGAGGTAGTATTTGAATTAACAATTTGAGGCGTCGCCGGATATGTACACTAGTTAATATGTGTTATTATTTTAGAAACCATTTTTATAATGATGTAACCATTCTTTTTTTTTAATCGTTTATTTGCTTAGACACATGTTACTTAAACCTGTAAGAGAATATACTATACCTTTAAATATTATATGTTGATCATCATTAACATTTTCTTGGGCTCCAATTGCTGACATTTTTTTTTTTGGGAAGTTGACATTTGTTCTTATTTCAAGAAAAGATAGCATCTATCTATCTATCTATCTATCTATCTATCTATCTATCTATCTATCTATCTATCTATCTATCTAATCTATCTATCTATCTATCTATCTATCTATCTATCTATCTATCTATCTATATCTATCTATCTATCTATCTATCTATCTATCTATCTATCTATCTATCTATCTATCTATCTATCTATCTATCTATCTATCTATCTATCTATCTATCTATCTATCTTATCTATCTATCTATCTATCTATCTATCTATCTATCTATCTATCTATCTATCTATCTATCTATCTATCTATCTATCTATCTATCTATCTATCTATCTATCTATCTATCTATCTTTTTTTTTTTTTTATCTATCTATCTATCTATCTATCTATCTATCTATCTATCTATGTTATACTAAAAGACAAGTGCCTCAATGTGAGATTGACAAATGTCTCTTTATGATTCGCTATCTTTTTATAAATTTTTTTTATACATTTATGTTTCCATATAAAAAAAAATAATTCTAAATATCTTATTCTAAATTTGTAACACCCCGTTCTTAAATTTAGGTGTAACAAAATTACTAGCTAAACTATTATAGTAAAGTCTAGAAATATTAAGTCTCAAATAAAAATAAAATGTTAAGATTATATTTTTGGAAATTGCCTTTGTCAATAGCATACTCACAAAGTTTCATATACGGCTGGCTGTACGGTGCGACCAACCATATATATATATATATTTTAATTCTTCTTCTCTCTCCTCTTTTCTTCTTCCATCACATTTTCCTTTTTCCCCCAATTTTAATTCTCTCTCCTCTTTTTTCTTCAACTTCATTAATGGTGTCGTCTTCTTAGCCCAAATTTCTTCAAACTTCATTAATGGTTTACTATTGGAAATTTATGTTCTACGAATTTTATGTTGAATTCAAGCTTATTTGCTGAAGATTTTAATTATATAATTTGTAAGTTGTTAAATTTTAATACTTAATTTTTTGTTTAGTTGAAGAATGAAGAACAAATTGTTTTCCTGTATAGTGGTGGTTTCGTGGGTGGGTAGTGGTGGTATCATGGATGGGTTGTGGTGGTTTTGTGGTTCTGGGTTCTAGATCTGGTTTCGTTGGTGGTTTAGGTTAGTAGTGGTTCGTTGGTGGTGGTTGTTGGTTGTAGTTTTTTGTAGGTGGTGGGTAAGGGGTTACTAGATCCGGTTAGGGGTTACTAGTTGGGCCGATCAAGGTTTACTAGGTCGGCGGTCAGGGGTTACTTGGGGTTACTAGTTCGGGGGTTACTAGGTTAGTTAGGGGTTACTTGGGGTTACTAGGTCAGTTAGGGGTTACTAGGTCGGCGGTCAGGGATTACTTGGGGTTACTAGGTCGGTTAGGGTTATTTGGGGTTACTAGGTCAGGGGTTACTTTGTCATTTGCTTATTTGTCACCCTGCCGCATGGTGCGGCTGGCCTAGAGTGATATTTCTTTGCTCATAATGTAATCAATTATTATAATAGGTGATCGTGACAATGTATGGTCATAGCATTTATTATAGTAAAGTCTAGCAATATTTTTGCGACATAATGAGCAAAGGAAAGAATTATACAAGTATTTCGGATTACATGATACTTATTGATACGAGCATAATGGTCAGAGCATCTATTATATAGTAAAGTCTACAAATAATATTTCTCAAATAAAAAAAAAGTCTAGAAATATAATGGTGTAAGGAGGGTGATCCCATCGTAGGGGGTCCTTCCTTAGATGCCCATGGCCACTTAAAAGCCTAGGATTTTACCCTTGTTAAGGTGTATTAGGATTTGAATTCCTGACTATTTGGGAGACCTTGAATTAGAAATGATACTCTCATCACGCTTTTTTGTAAGAAACAAGTAGGAGTCGCCAATGAGTTTTAGGAAAACTCATAAACCTCGTTCATGCCTTTCTCCCAAGTAGGGTTCAAGGGATAATTAGCACGAATCATAAGTTTACCCATGCCCAAATTGGTCTACATAAACTAGAAATGAGTTCGGGAGCAAGGGTACTAAAATAACGTTCCTTTTAGGGAGGAATCACTATTCTATCCCTAGAACGACCTCTACTAGCTCTTCCTTTTTTACAATTTCATTACCAAACAATATATGCAACATGATACCTAAAGACTAAGTTAGTTGATTTTATTTACAAGAATTAATCACGTAGGAATTACATTGCAAAAAGTCGTTATTCTTTGTTTAATAATATTCGTGAAAGAACAATAAATAAACAAGATTCGCCTTATATTAAGTGATAAACATCAATTAATTATTCAAATTCTAGTCTTGATTAACAAAAGAGTACTATGTGAATTAATTAATTAAAAGTTTGTTTAAAGTGATCAAAAAACACTAATTAATTAATTACAGTTATTTAAACAATAAAAGAAAGTGATTTATCTAAATGCTCAGGAAACTAACCGTTCTTCTTTTATGCTAAATCTCCGTTTAATGTGTTTATGGACTTTCTTTCTTCTTTGTACCTTCAAGAGCTTCAATAGATGGATTAGGGTTGAAGAGTAGTTGGGAAGAAAGAGGGAAAAGTAGTATGATAGTAAGAGAAGTAGAGAGATTAGGGTTTGAGAACACTAGGGTTTTAATTCTAATTTTTTCGGTCCCCGTAACGCTGAACGAAGATCCCTATTTATAGGGGTAGGGATCTACGTTTAGGGTTTTAGAGCCATGCCGTCAGGTGGCGCGCGCAACTCTCAAAGTTGCGCTGGGGTGCCGCACGCATCTCAATGAGTCGCGCGCGCAAGGCGCGCGCAACTGATTGAGTTGCGCTGGTTTGCGGTTTGCCTTATACGAAAACACGTTTTTAAAACTTTCATAACTTTTGTTTTCGGAGTCGGATTAAGGCGTGTGAGATACCATTTGAAAGATATGAATGTCTACTTTCCAATTCAATTCAAATTAGGTCAAAATATATTATGTATCAAGAGTTATGGCCGTCGGAGTGCAAGGGTGTTGGTTTTAGGGCCCGGTTTAGTGTTTTGATCATAACTTCTTCATTTTTGCTCGGAATTGGGCTTATAATATACCGTTGGAAAGATCTTTGAAAGGGCTATAAATATGTATAGTCATTGCATGGGAATTTGACTGTTGGTTTACTTATTTGGCTCGGTTTTTCAACAATGTAGGTTCCATTGGATCCAATCATTGCATTTGACGCATTAGAGTCCGTTATTAGTCAATTTTAAACATGTATGAACACGTTTTAGGCCTAATCAGTAATCGGAAAAGGATCTAAGATAACTTGGTCTCAAATTTGGGTTTCAACTTACTTCATAATTCTTTTCATAGTCCATAAACACTTTAACTTTGATCTAGCACGAAGAATGAATTTTTGTAACATCATCGCACTTCCTTTCGGGACAAGAGGCCAAAATTAGGTGTCTACAGTTAGCCCCCACTTTGATTGAGTCTAGAATAGATGATGATCAAAGTAGTCAAGGAAATAAATCCGAGACTTCTATGAAGTTCTCTTAGAATAGAGAATCTTTCAGTAATGTTTAAGGATGTCGAAATAATCCTTGGTTCGCTAAGTGTTTGAAACAAGTAGCTATTAAGGCTAGAAAAAGTTCTTCCTAGTCTTAACGCGCTAAAAAATCTAGATTGATCCTTTGCAGTTTGTAGAACGCTTTCACAAGTAAAGGTGTTCTGGGTGATGTCAAGTCATGAGAAGAGATTGGTTTTAAAGGATAAAAGGGGAAGATTTCCTCTCAATCATGTCATCGTTGGTCTAAAGTCCCTCAATATGTCATTGAAACTTTAGCCTGACTTTAACAAAGTAAAAAGATGAAAAAGGGTTTTCAGTATTAGAGCCGAAATGGTCCGGTATTCGAGCCGGGTCCGGTATTTGAGCCGGAA